GAAAAACTTTTTATTATATCACTAAAATATGGTGCTCCTGAATTATATCTGTTCATATTGTAGACTGTCTCATTTACAGTGTACCCGGACTGCCACTCGTCTTTGATTTGCATGTTGAAGCTATTCATAATATGGTTTATGAAAATAGGGCCCTATATTTGGCACCACGGGCAGTGCATTTTGGGGGAGTGATTGTCGTTCTCTGGTGGCTAAAATCTGTTGCCATTTCCACCATAGTATTTTTTCTAATTTCATAAGTAATAATAACCGCACAGAAATGTTGTACTTGTGATCTTATTGCTTACAGTAAGTAGATGATTCTTTCATTTTCCTGTTGATGCATTGCTGCCTTCCCACAGCAATAATTTCAAAACTGTTTAGCTTCTAAGTGTTTTCTCCCCATTAGTGTTTGTAAACTACATTTTGGGCAAAGCCTGTTGGAAGCTCTCTACATTCAGATTTGGTGAGTCACACTTAGTATTAGTCTGGTAGTATGGATTTCAGCTAATTGAACTACTCCTTCTAGCTAAGTCTGCAATGGCCTGGACTTTGTGCTGTAAACAAGGCAGGGTACTATATAATTTTTATCTCAAATTGAACATTCTTGTTTTGTATCATGTGTAACAGTGACATTGCTGAATGAAATATAAAAAGTACATTTTGACTCCCAAATTCCCTGGTCTAATGACGTTTTAGCGGTTTTTAAAAATCAACTTGAATATAAATATTGAATAGAATTGTCCAAAGGAATTTTCATATAAATGTTTGTTTTATGACCAACTTTTATCACCACTATATATTTTAAAATGAGGAAATTGGTCTTATTTCTTTCATATGGGAAAAATGCATATGGTTTTCTATTTAAATCTATTGTGTGTTATGATTTTATTAATTTGGGATTTAAAAAAATAAACAGGCCCTTCAGGGTTGATTTTAATCATGTTTATATTATCAGAGCATTTCAGTGTTTGTTTTATCCATTTTCCGGCCTCAGTCAGCTGTCCCAACTAGATAAGCACTCGCCTGCTGCATTTTCTTTTATAGCTTAATTTTAATTGTTTATATTAGTAACCCATGAGTTCCTTAATATCATAATCCACTTTCTGTGATGTTTGCTTGAATAATTTTTTTGCATGGCAGCATCAAGTTCTGTTCAGATTATTTTAGACCAATTAGTTTGGGAATATTTTACATCTTGTAAAAGGACTCATTTATTTTTGGGTTATTTTAATATGATACTTGAAAAGCTCTTTACTGTAACACTCACTTGCACACATGAAGCTTATTTTGGTATTTTGTCATTCAGTTTATTTTCCATAACACTAACTAATTAAACAACATTTTGAATAAAAAATTATATGCAGTGTAGTTCCTTAGTTTCTCTGTGTCGTTTCATTTTTTCTTTATGCATTTTTTTAGTCAGCACATCAGAAAACCTGAGCATTGTTGTCACTAAATATCTATCTTTAGGTCATTTTATAAAAGTCTTTTCTGAGAAATTTAGGGGTGTGTGTGTGTGTGTGTGTGTGTGTGTAGTAATAAATATAATAT